TCCGATCTTTGCGGCCACGTGGTGTTATATAAACTTAACATTGTAAAATTCACTAATATTACATGGAAGCACCAAGATCCGCTTTGTACCGTGTTGGCGTTTTAAGATCTCATTTGTTAAATTAACTTTCCACGGTCTTTCCTGATACTCAATTATTTAATTATTTATTTTTTATAATAACAAACGTGGATGCTCTATAATTATTTTTACTTATAAATTCATTTAATAATTTATCAATGTCATCCATTACAGCCTTCGCTAAATCTCTGTGGATATGTAATTTACGTGGGTGTGGATTAACTTTTTTAGGTGTAGAAATCCACATTTACCTGATTTTGGGGTGTGGATTACTCCACACAATCCACACAAAAAACGCCGGGCCTGGTGAAAATGATTAAATTATCTTCAGTTAATGTGAGAGGCGAAAAAAACTTACTAAAAAAGCATTGCTAAACTATGAAGTTTGAAAACGTACTGCAACCTTCTTGTGGTAAATTCAGAGAACTATAAGTTTTGTAGGCTAACTGCAGACATTCTTAAGAGAAATATTATGTATTATTACACAATACCTATATGTTATTATCAGGGTTGGAAACGTTATCTTGAAAAAGTAAAGCATTACAGTCATTTTTTAATAAAAGTAACGTGTTATCATTACCCGTTACTGTTACTGTTGCTTGAAAAGTTTTGTTTTGAAACATTAATATCTAATATTCACTGTTAGTACTGAAAATCTGTGTGTAATTTATAATGTGAATTATAGATTTTCAATACAGTTACTGTAGGAATATACTAAGAGTATAAAATATTAAGCATAAAATATTTTTTAAAAAGTAAACTAAAAATATATTATAAAATAAAAAAATAAAAGTTTAAAAAAGAAAAAAGTAACGACAATTCGTTATACCGTATTCCGTATTGTAAATATATAATGACGTTACTGTTACAGATAGAAAAAAGTAACAATCGTCAATGAAAAAGTAAATAATTTAAAAGTATATGATTGAAAAATAACGAAAACAATAATGGCGTTACAAATAATGCGTTACTTTCCAATCATGATTATTATACCATAATGTTCACTAAATAAATATGCAGTCAATAATAAAATCATTATTTCTATCAATTTTCTTGGCAACTAAACACTACAACAAGGCAGATATGTAAGTTTAATAGCAATGATTACCGTGCGCCGCGGAACACTAGGGTGTCGTAGCGCGGCATTGCCTGATTGTTATTTTTAACCATGTTCCACCGCTCCGATTGATTTGGAAAAAATCTATATATTCAAGTAAAGAATCTAGATATGTTTTTATGAAAATGTAGAAGTGGTCACTTGAAAATATCACCAAAAAATTCATAAAAAATTCAAAAATTTTTTATCGGGTTTTTTATCATAAAAATTACAAAAAATTGAAACTTAACAACAATGTTTACAACATATATTTTTTTCATTAAAATTGATTTAGTCGTTTACGAGAAAAATTATTTTTTTTATTTCGTTTTCCCCTTTCATAGCTTAAAAAAATGCAATTTTAAAGCTAATTTTTGAGGAAGTGTTACTTCCCAAACAACACTAATAACTAATGACACCAATTTGAGCTCAATTAGTACAAAGACAGATTTTACATGCTTATTCCGCTATGCCCTTTAGCACAAATTTGAAAAATTCTTGATTTTTTTATACGTGACAAACTAGACCACGCATTTAGATAATTATAATTATTGCAAAAATTTTGAGAAATAAAGATCATAGGATTCTAGCATTCTCTATATTCGCTAAATATAATTCTAGCATACTTTTTATTCTTACAGTTAAAATATAATTGAAATAACAATACATTTTAAGGATATGTTACTCATCTAAAGAATTTTGATGAAATAAATGTATTCGAAAATAATTTTTCTAAAATTTTAATCCCTATAAAGCGGTTATTGTAAATCATGTGTAAATCAAGAAAGAAACTTTCACGGAGCTATAAAATAAATTTTATCTGCATTTATTGTTTTTATTAGAGCAGTTCAGATATTATGTGTATTTTAAATTATGTATTTTAGAAATTCATACAAATTTTACTCACATTTGAGAACTCATTGTATTTAAATGCAGAAGCTTCTGCTGAAAATATTGTATCTGCTAACGCGTTCGCCTATAAAACAATTTTACAACATGAAGGAAATTATTATATAAATTTTGTTTATCATTATGTTGTACATTAATACCTGATCACATGTCAAATGACAGATACGACTTATAGCAATAACTTGAAATGATAAATACAGAATCATCATACATCGATTGCAAACTAGCAGCACGCTATTATGTTGAGTATTTTCATAAAGATTGACGAAGACATAAGTTATAATGTCTATTAACATACATGCAATCCAACAAAGCAACTGCGGATTATAATAAGAAGTGAGATAATTTGTTGCATCGCTGAGATAACGATGTAATTGCTGAAGATTCGCAATTGTCAAATTCTGGTCATCGAATATTTCAGATATATTGCTATCGATGCAAATTGTTTTCCCTGCAAAATGTTAACATTGTTAAAATTATTTATTAGAAATTTTTAAAAAAATGTGTAAATTTATATATGTTTACAGTCACGAAATTATTTTTCCGGATAGTGCATCATTCTATCGATGATTTCGTCAAACTGTTGTCCGAGTTTTATTTATATTTTGGCTAACAAGGGAACATGTGTCCCTCTTCAATTTTAATAAATTTTGGATATGTTTAAATGGATATATTACAGAAAATTAGAGACATACATTTTTTTATAAGTGTTAAATTGCACGTTAAAGGTATAAAATTTATTTTAGGGTATTTACATTACTTTTTCATATTTCTTATTTTTTAAATATTTTCCGTTTAGAGTCGAAACGTTCGAATAAATATTAAGAAATTTGAATATAAATATGCATGGATATTAATTTGCGCACTACTTACCGCGCCGTTATCTTCATTAACTTTCTAGAATTATTACAATTTCAAGGATCCTATTTACTTCTATTTAATAGCACATTATCCAGATAATTAATTTTGTAACTATATAGCAGAATTATATAGTGAAAACCTATCTTATTTTTAAATATAAAATTTAATTTATGTATTTTAAAAGATGCATCAATTTTACAAGTTTTTAATATTAGCATTTACGAAATGTAATTAGATTCATGGAGTTATATGAAGGTATATAGAGGGAACATATTATTGCAAGGCTGAAGTTCAAGGAAAAAAGATTTATTTCAATGGATATGATCAATCATTATGGCGGCATTGGCAGCTAAAATTAACACGGAGTCTATTATACTGTCTCAGAAAAGGGTAAAGCTTTTTCATTGAAAAAAAATTGCGTAACAATCCGACATATTAAATAATAAATGTTCAATTCATTTCAAGCACTATTTATAATAATAAAACAACTGCAGAGTAATCACAGTGATTCCTCGATTAAAATCACGTCACGGGACGTGAAATAGCTCTGAGTTTACATATATTATATACATATATGCTACTTCTGAACAATCAAGATCATTGATTTTTTCCCTTGCCTCTCAGGTTTCACCTCTCGCCTAAAATTGTACCACATACTCCCTCCATATACATCTGTAGAGATTGATTAGTATTATTAAATTAACTTAATTTGATTCTAATACTATTCAATTTGGAGTTGCTCAATTAACAATATGATACCAATTAATCCATGACACAGTCTGTTGAGATGACAAAATCGGCGACGTAATGCATCGTATAAGAAGCAAAATTTTGCGATTTCCATGGAGAATGTCATCCGTGTTCCATACTGTATCACAGCTGTACAGAAGATTACTTCGCTTGTAACACTTATTTTGGTAATAGATAGCATTGCTAGTGCACCAATTAAGAACCAAGCGCTGAAGATAAATAATATAATTATCCACTGTATATAGTAATTCTTGCGTTTGTTAATGTACCGACGATAATGTTCTATTAAATCGTCGAATTTACGAGTTGTAGCTATAGTGCGTTCAAATTCCACATGACGCAAGTGCGACAGCAATATCGTCAATATCATATAGAGATTCCGAGTATATCGATTAATTTGCTGTAGAACGCATCCCACATTAATAGATGTGCAAGAAGTGGCGAAAGTGAAGTAAATTGCATAATATGCTGCAGCGCAATACACACCGCACATGATCACTGAGTATATTGTCAATAAACGAAAATTTGTGAATATCGATAGTTCGTCGATTGTATGCGGATGACAACCGTAAAAACGTGATATGTATAGCAACCATTGATAATTTTTCAACATGGCTTCACTAACTTTACTAAACAACTGTGACTTTACTACATTCTAATCATTATTCTCTGATATCGTTGGCATGTCGCAACGTTTTACTCATGCTTTAGATAAAGTGCAGATAAATCCCTCTATTACTTCAAACGGGGTTGACACAATAATAACAGCAATTTATTTCTATCGCGTATAGATCTCAAAGATAGTGATAAAATCCTTCTAACAATTTTTTTCTATAAGAATTTTTTTACAGTCCACGCGGATTGAAAAAAAGAAATAAGACCGCAGATTTTTCTAACTTGTTGAATTACAATTTATTAGCAAAAATACATTTCCTAAAATGAATTTTTATATATATGTTTATAAGAGTATTTTGTTTCAAGTGATCCAATTGATTATCTTAAAAAATAAGCATTTTTAAGAAAAATGTTCTAGACAAAAATTGTATAATCTGAAAGAAAACAAATAATGGAAAAATCAATTTTTTAACAATTACATGAAGGTTGTCATTTTTTTTTAATGGAACTACCACAAAGTACCAAACCTAACCACAAACTATCACAAAGTACGCGTAGTATGCGCTACGCACTCATTTTTCGCGTCCTTCGAATTTAATTTCTATTCTCTAATTATTGTTTTGATTGTTTCATTTTTTCTTTATATCCATCAATCAAATCATATATGTATATATATATATATA